CCTATAAATTGCCAAAACACGCCTCCAGGTTCTGATAATGAGGGAGATGGTTATGATGATGATGAACAAAATAGATGGTATGAACAAAATAGATGCTATGATCCACCGGTAAAAAAAAACAGGTACCAGTAAATGAAAAGTTGTCCACGGAATCTAGCCAGCCTGAAACATATGATGAGCTATTGCCAAAACTTTCACCGGCAATGCGTAAAATGTGTCTATCTCGAAAGACTCAGGAGGAGAAGTCAAAAAAAGATGAATGGTTTTCGTCTCTACAATACTTGAATGCTAGTATAAATGACTTACTAATCTCTGAATCTTTTTTAGATAATGGAAGTGAATTTGATGGATTTAATTTAGCTACTGGTGAAGCACTTGAATGGAAAGTTGATAAGCCTTCCAAATTTGCTGTAAAAGGTAATTCTGAACATATCTCTGAAGTATTAGGATAGTATACGAATATAGCAGTCACTCTAAAGGATATGAAAGGAAACCCAATCATCATTATTATTAGAAATTATGCTTGTATTGATAATGGTGAGCCTAATCTAATGCTATGATTAGGTACGACAGGAATTTGAAAAGTCAAAGGTATTTCTGATCTGACTAAAAATCAGTTTCGTATAGAGGATCATGGAAAGACATATATTATCCCAACTTTTAGTAAGACTCCAGTAGTCAAGGATCTGCCAAAAGAGGAGTATGAATCATCACCTCAGGTATCCGCTAACTCTTCTGATCTAACTAGTGAGAAGGACTTAAAAAAAGTGCATAAACTATGCAAAGCTTAAAGAACATCTTACAAAGGCTGAAGACTGGCTTGGTAAAGCAATAAGTACTATAAAATTGCTTGCCGAAAAGAAGTAAGTTATTTAGTATCATCCATTTGTTTTAATACATCTTCAAGTTCAGATCCCATTTTAGACAAAATATCAGTATTATCTGTGCTATTAGCACTGCGTTGTGAAACCACCTCTGTTTCCGTCTCAGTAGATGCCGTTTTACCTGTTTTCTTTTTTTGACTATTTTTCTTCAGTGGTAAGGTAGATGGAGAGGAAATAGCAGGAAGTGGATTGCAGTTTACTACAGGTAAACACCCACCTGCATAAGTAGTATTAGAAATATCAGCTATTGGTTGATTCCAGACAATTCTATTAACTTCTTCGCCTCTCCAAATCTGATATATGTGCTTCATTGATGTATTATATTTGACCATCAATTCTTTTAAAACTTTTTTTCTCAGTCTCTCATCATAGCGTTGCATAATAAAATCATAATTATTTGGTGAAAATAAAGGCGCATTACATTTCATACGTTGTCTAACTATAATTGTGATGATGTTTTTTTTAGATAAAATATTTCAAAAAATATTAAATAGAATGAATCTATTCTTGGGGATAAATAGGATAAGTGTATTCTTTTTAATATTTAGAATAAGTATGATAACCCTATTATTTTGAAAATAATTTATTAGGATAAATATGATAAATATATTATTTCGAAAAAATTTATTAGGATAATTAGAATACTTAGAATACTTAGGATACTTAGGATAAATGTTATTATTTCAAAAAAAAAATATATTTTTTGACTATATTTGCGAGGATAAAAAACTATGCCTCGAATCCATACCTTAAATGATATAGGCAATAGTGATGGCAGTAAACTTGGAAGCCTTCCATCCAAATATCTACCGAGCCGATTAGAACTTGAAGAACAGCTAAAAAAAGATTGCAAAAAGTTTATAAGATCTGCCAAACAGCTTTTAACTAAATATCATGTCTTAGATGAAAAAAATAAGTGTATGCAAAATGATCTAGATCACTCGCATGAGGAAAATGAGCGTATGCATAATTCTATGAATCAAATTACCCCCCTAGCTAATCAACTAAATGGTTTGAATAATAAGCTTGTCTCCCAAATTACTTGCGAACGAAAGTCTCATGCCGATCTTAATGCCAAGCAGTTAAAAGAAATAGAATCATTAAGGTCTATGGTTAAATCACTGGAAAGCATAATATCTTCGATGCAAAAAGCTTCATCTTTGAAGGATTCTGATATCGCCTCTCTTAAGACAAAAATAAATGAACTAGAGGTTGAGTTAGAACAAATTACGCAAAAAGTTTTATTAAAAGATTCTGATACTAATCAGTTGTTTAACAATCTCTCTCTTGAGATTAAAGTAAAGGAATTGGAAAATGAATTGGAGAAAGTTACGCAAAATTCATCATTTAAGGATGGGTTAATTTTCTGTCTCAGGTCTAGAGTAAGTAATCTGGAAGATGAACTAGATCAGATTGTTTCGCAACCGCATCAGTCAATTAATGATTCAAAAATAGGTAGTGCAGAAGCAGATCCAGTTTCATCATCCAATGATTATAAGCGAGGTGAAGTAGTAAAAGAGGTATTCCATTTTTCTTCACACTGCTTAGAGTCTGAACCTGATGAAAGAAAAGTAAAAGATGAGATAGGGACTCAAAGAGACCATCTTCATGTTGATCAAAAATCAAAAGAAAAACATGATAGTATCTTAGCCTCGCCCATTATTGTATTAGGAGCTGGTAAGGCTTTAGTTGATAATCAGTATATGCTTCTGCCTATATTCGAACTCATGATTCTTGCTTTAGTAATTATACTAATTATATGGTATATATATAGACGTTTTTTTCGCTCTGATAAAAAGGAAGAAATTTTTCCAAAATATATAATACCCATAAATAGAAATCAAGGTTATGCATTCCCAATCCGATACGCAGAAGAACCAAAAGACAGGACTACCTCCTATGAAACTTCGTCTTTTGGATATGGATGAAGTTACAAAGCATGAATCATTCCGAAATATTGGCCATCTGGCAATGACATGGCCTTTTAGCAAGTTGGTCACTGGGAAAAGTGGTTTAGGTAAGACTAATTTACTTGGAAACCTTGTTCTTGGTGATAAGGATGAATATGTACAAAGAGGGGAGGAAGGTGGGTCTTACTACATTAAATGTGATGATCTAATTGTTTGTGGGTATCATCCTGATGAGCCAAAATAGGCATATGTGAGGTATATATATAATATGATTTCAAAGGATCCAAAAGCATCTTTCTATGAGAATATTAGTTTCAGGTATATTCCACCTGAAAGAATTCCTAGTACAAGAGCATTCTCACCTGAAAGAAGCACACTAATTATTTTCGAGGATCTGTGCTTAGCTCCTGAACATATACAGAATCAAATTAGCCAATTTTTTGGGAATGGACGTCATCGAAATATTTCAAGTATATATGTTACCCAAAAATATCATAAAGTCCCTACATTCATTCGTGAGAATATCTCCCATCTAGTAATGTTTAACTCTGGTAGTTCACATGAAGAGATTTCTAAAATTCTTCAGCAATATACTGATGATGTTAAAAATGCTTCAATGGTTATTAACAAATACCTTCGCAAAGGGGAATTTATTGTGTTTGATTTAAACAAGCCAGAAGATGATCCACATGCAATTAGATTAAGATTCAATACTCCATTAGATCTGCAAAAAGAGATTCAGCTACGACAAAAAAACAATGAAAAAGCTATCATTAAATGATGCATGTATAATTGCTAAAGAACGTGATGGAATGTGTCTTTCAACTGAATATAAAGATAACAGAACTCCATTAATATGGCGTTGTTCTAAGAACCATGTATGGAGTGCCCCACTTTCTAGAATTAAAAATTTAGGACAATAGTGTCTGCAATGTGCAGGTAAAGTAAAACTTACTCTTGAGGTTGCTAAACAAATTGCGTTATTAAAAAGTGGTCAATGTCTTTCAGAAAAGTACATTAATAATCGATTGCCATTACTATGGAATTGCATTAAAGGTCATTTGTGGTATGCATCTCTTAGCAATGTAAAAGATCATGGTAAATGATGCCCATATTGTGCAGGAAATGCCCGTCTTACTCTTGAAGATGCCAAGCAAATTGCACTTAGCCGAAATGGTAAGTGTCTTTCAACTGTATATAGTAATTCCAAAACTCCGATGACATGGAAATGCCATCAAGGTCATATTTGGAATAGTTCGTTTAAACATATTAAAAATTCTGGTACATGGTGCCCATATTGCGCGGGTATTGCAAAACTAGCACTTGAAGATGCAAAGCAAATTGCACTATCTAGGGTCTTTCAACTGAGTATAAAAATATAGACGAACTGCTTACATGGCGTTGCCAATTTAACCATCAATGGCAAAATACACTTTACCACATTAAAAATAGAGAGCAATGGTGCCCATTTTGCATTGGTCGTTACCAAACAATTGAGGATATGCGTAAACTTGCACAAGTAAAAAATGGAGATTGCCTTTCAGATCAATACTATAACTCACGTACCAAGCTAGAATGGATTTGTGAGAATAAACATCAATGGGAAGCTATTCCTAATAGTATTCAACAAGGAACTTGGTGTCCATTCTGCCCAAAATATAAGAGAGAAAAGTTATGTCATGAGATTTTAACAAGATATCTTGGCGTCCCTTCACGAATCCGCAGGCCTAAATTCTTAAAAACACAAGAATATCCAAATGGACTAGAACTTGATATATTTTATCCGCAATATGGATTTGCAATCGAAGTACAAGGCATACAGCACGAAAAATATCATGAATTCTTTCATGGAGGAGATCCCAATAATTTTATCAAACAGCAAGCACGGGATCAGCTCAAGAAAGAATTATGCGAAGAAAATTGGATCGTCCTAAGATATGTTTGGTATTACGAAGACCCATATGTAGTTATTCCGGAGCATCTTCGGGAACTGGGTCTCATTGAATAAACTCAAAACTTTAAATGCTTATGATCATTAATATTGTATTTAATAAAAATGGACAATGACTGAAGTTTCGCGGTTTAGAAAAAAATTTGAGATCACAGCTAAAAGAGATAAACATTACATAGCGAAGTTTTATTAATACTAATGATGAAAAATATATTGCACATGCAGTTAACCACTGAAGGGAATATAATTAATCGCTATTGACTTTGATTTGGTCTGGACTCGCAAAAAAAATAATATAAGCCTAAGAATTCGCTACCATACATTTCCCAATTTGTATAGATTTGGTTTTATTTTTTGAGGGGTGCGGTTTTCATTCAATTCCGCTTCAGTTCTGGATGTAGTTTGCCTTCGTTTCCCCTTTGTGTTTTCTAAAAGTAATTTTTTAACTACTTTCTCAATCTCAAGCACTTTATTCTATATTTGACAATAAGTTAAACATTTATTTGTGGTAGTATCATTAACATAGAAATTACTTACCTCAAGTAACTTGAGGATGCAATACGAATCTTCAAGCATCCCAAATTCATCCTCATCTGATGGTAATCTACATCGATCAACTAAGCCAAATCTGTATATGCCGGCTCCTAACCAGTCCATGGCATAGAAGTTCACTTCTAGACCTATCCATAAAATGAAGTTTATTAGCGAATTAAACTTACATAAGTGCAATGGTGCAGGAAAACTTACCTATTTGGAGCCACCCATATACAATTAAATTCATACGTTCCTCATTGATACGTATTTACATTCTTTTAGCAGTCTGTTTATACTGTCCCGCATTATTATCATAAGTTTTACCTTATCAAGATAACGCTTTCTACGACATGCAGTGGGCAATCCAAACGGGCCCAAACCCCCAGCAACCTCTCCATAAATTACTTCGAATTTATTAGATGTTTTGATGAGAGTACTTTTCATATCAACACGTCTTCCTATTCGTGCTTTTTTAAACGGATTTCCCCCTTCGTTACGCGCGTCATTTGTAGATAAAGCTTGAATTTCTCCCCTTACATACAGAATAGTATTATTAATTCTGAATAATTGAAACCTGCCCAAATAAATGACCTACCAAGCATTCTTAATCTTATCGGAATTAAATACCCCACGAAAAAGCGGAAACGTAGAGCTCATTTTTAGCTCTTCCTCCGTCATCATTCCTTGGAAACTATGTACATCGCTTTTCCTGTACAACAATCCAGAGTCAAATGCTATGACCAGATAATAAGACATAATCAAAAAAACATATACATACATAAACTGGATGTTTACATCTAGTTTTTTAATATCTTGATTGTCAATCATCTTTTTCTCACAATTATTATCAAAATATTCTTGTATATTCTTTTCTGGTGGTATTGTTTTCCAGGAAATTTTATCGGCGAATTCTTGCGACACTTGCATTATATCCTCTTCTGTTAGCTGTTTACAGTCAAATAAACTTTCTCTGGTTAAATCCATAACTCCCCAATATGCAGGTCTATTGGATGGAAATTATATAGAATATTCAATTATTGGACAATTACAGTACTAAAATAATGATAAAAAGATATCAAACTTACGTGAAAATCCTACGGGCTTTTGGAATTTTATTTTCATATTTCTGAAAGGCTTCAATGATGTTCGCATCCATAATTTTTTGTCGAACCTATTTAGAATAATAAATGAGCTTACTAATATAATGTTCTCAACTGTTAATGCTAAGTTTTACCTTTGAGGAGCTATTACCACTTGCCCGTGGCAATTTGTTCTCTTGTTCAAGTAATTTTTCGTCTATACTTTCTATAAGAGCGTCTTCACTTGACTCATCAAATAATAACGTCAACCCTTGATAATCCGACTCATCATCGTCCCTTTTTCTTTTCAAGTTATTTTCATAAACTGACTTTTCGTTCGCCCGAAGTCTTTCAGTGGAATCGACCCTATCTGAGCTAGTGCCTTTGGAAGAAGTATTAGCAACATTGTCATCGAATCTTATCTATTTGAAATTTAAAAGGCAAAAGAGAAGATTACCTATTATACGAAAAAAATGATTTAGCCATTACCGACCTTTTCGCTCTCCGACCCCTTTGTTTAAAAACAAAAATTAAAAATTAACCGTTGTTTTTTTTAGAGCGCAATTAAAAAAAATTCATTCTTTTGTTTATTTTATAAAGCTTACATTAATAGGAGGATTTGGTTCTGATATGTTATTTCCCCCGGTAAGTATACGGTTTGCAACAAAGAAATGATGCTGTGCCTATATTAAAAAAAGTAAGAAATACATGATTATACATCGTAAACTCCATAATATTTTATTTTATCTCACTTGAAAGCTTCGGATCTTGATAGAAGCGTTTTTTTCAATTATGTCAAGTTTTTTGGCGTGCATTTCCTCTTCCCAGAAAAGATATACTCGACCACCTTTCTGTGATTCAAACTAGGAAAATAGTTAGAATTAATATATAATTGCGAATGTGACCACAAGATTGTAGCAGGAGTGCCGTGCAGGAGACGTAGTCCCACGGGTCCCTACAAATTCTAAACGAGCACGATTGGCCTGTAGCAGGAGTACCGTGCAGGAGACGTAGTCCCACGGGTCCCTACAACCAATATATTCTTACGTGAAATTGTTCCTTTAGATATTTCGCCTTCTCCTGCTCGTTCTCGACGCCGTTTGCTATAAACCATTCGACTTGTTCATTAAAAGCCCTTGTTACCGTTGCTTTATCTAGTTCAACTGATAAGGTGTTTTTCCAAAATATGATAATCTAATGGATTCCAATCGCCTACAAAAGTTTGAGTAAAGTAATCGAACCCGTCCTTTTTAAATATATTGGACATTATAGTAGTAATCTTCGCTAGAGAAAAGAGTAAATTTGTATTCATTAAAAGTAAAAAACGCGTCACATATAGTGGTTACGCAACTAAATGTCACATGATATCAGTCAATCGAATAGCGTCATAAGATAGCCGGTCGTTATACTGATGATGTGAAAAATGCATCTATGGTTATTAATAGCTACCTTCGAAGAGGTGAATTTATTGTATTTGATCTCACTAGGCCAGAAGACGATCCCCTTGCAATCCGCCTAAGGTTTGACACTCCACTAAATCTGCAGAAGGAGATAGAGGCAAGGCAAAAGCGCAAGGAAAAAAAGCACCTCAGCTAATGAGTAGAATTTAACTTTATGGATACTAACTTTTTTCGTAATTATAAAAAATTGGAATGAGAGAACCCTTGATTTATATCGATCCTCAAAAAGCTCATAATTTAGACCAGCATCTTGCCTTGCAAAAACTATATTATTGTCCTGAAGGTTTATATCAAAATGTTAAGGGATTATGAGATGCTTGTAAAAAAGCCAACTACAGCTTTCTATTTATTGATGTAAAAAAATGGCTTGAGAGTCAAGCAATGTATCAAATTTTTCATCCTTCACCAAAGGATATACCTTATGCCAGTTACTCTAAAATCACGAAGCCAAATACTGTGCACCAATGTGATTTAATCAAAATACCATATAATGAAGATATAGATATAAATTTACTAGATGATGGCGGTGGTCCTCCAATATATTACTATGTACTATTGGTTATAGACTGTGCGACTAGATATAAAGATTTCGTTTTTTAATATCAAAGAGCAGTGAGGAAGTTGCGGAAGCATTTAAGAGTATATATGATGATCCCGATAAGCCTCTCAACTGGTTTCGAAAACTACAATGTGATAAAGGCATTAAGTTTATGGGATTTGTGACTTTATTAATGGACGAACACAGTGATGAAATCTGAAGGATTATAGCATGTTTCAGACATACAAGCTTGGCTATTCTTGACAATTATGCCAGACATTTTTCTAGAAGAGTTTTTAAAAATCAGTATTCAGTAGAATTTCTCCTGCCTATTGGCAAGCGCTGTAGAGAATGTGAGTGGTTTGCAAGAAAAATTGTTGATAATATGAATGATAGCCCAACTCGATTGATTGGAATGAGTCCTAATGACGTCACAAAACTTGAGCGGATATATTCCAAACCATCAGTAAAATATAATCACCCAATAGGTATTGATGAACTACAACTACCAAAGAGTACTACTGTCTGATTCTTGCTTGCTCCTGGAGAATGGAAAAATGATCCATTCGAAAGACGCAGAATAACAGATACGATATGGTCTCCTAGCCTATATAAGATCTGGAAAATTGTTGTTGAAAAGAATCCTCCGATGCCTGTTTTGTATTATTTAGACGAATCAGGACCTCAGTATCCCTTTGTAAGAAAACAATTAATACATATTAAGAAAGAGCCTATGTTACCTCTTAGGTGGGTATTGAAAGATAACCGAATGCGTACAAGGCACTCCTTATAAAAGTTTCTAAGTCAACGGTGCAATAGGAAATTATAATAAGGATTATCCCTTCTCTGTAACATAACGCCTTTTTTTTCCAATCACGTCAGATTTGTGCATCTAGGTTCATCTGTCCTTGTGGGTAAAAAAAAGGTACAATTTGATAATGTTGGTTGCCACTATATTCGAAGGCCAAGTCTAGCTCTTCATTATATCCATATAGATGTAATCCCTCCAAGAACTTAGGTTTTCGGAGGGGAAATTTTTTATTTAATAAATCTTTGAATATATACCGGTATGTTTTTTCCAGTACATTAGGGCAAACGTTACACCATCTATAATTCTGTTTCATATTTTTATATGGCGCCTCCCATTGATGACCCTTTTTACATGACCATAAATATGTATTA